GAAATCGGTATTTCGAATGTTTTCGATGAACGGTTTTGCTTATGAAAATATAGATTAAACTGCCCTCTTTCGATTTCTGGAAATCGCAAGTCTCTATCTTTTATCGTCTTTGAGTTATTAAAAAACAACTATCTTCCTTATATTTTGGGATGGATAATAGTTAGAAAAGTACACCTTTTACTTGTTTCGTCCTTCTGTTTTAACAGGTACCTTAAACAAATAGGGCAAAAGTACAAAATACGTCTTAATGGCAATTTTGTTAGGTTAGATCAAATTCATTGTATCATACCTTGACTGTATCAATGTTAAAAACGGATATAAAAATTAGTGGTAAAACGTGTTTGGTTTATTTATATGTAAGCCTTACGTTTATATTTAAATAGAACAAATAGGGAAATAAGAAAATTAATAAATAAAAAGGCCGTCGTTATATAATTATCTTAAAGTTATATGAATATGCCTAGTAAGGACAATATAAAAATCAGTGGTCTAGTTCTCAATCGCGTAAAAAAGTGTAAATTTCCACTTGTCCTTCCTTTTCTGCATCAAAAAATAACATGTTAATGATATGAGAGTGATTTAGAAAAGTAAAAAGTTTTGCTCTTATTCTTCTTTTGCAATCTGAAATGATTCACCGTGGCAACCGTTGTGATGACACAGTTTATCTATAAATGTCTTGTCTTGTGAGAGGTCGTATAATGGAGGCTTTCTATCGTGAAATCGAGCATGACACTTTCGTTCTTGCCTTTCAGAAGTGACTTCGTTCTTTTATTTTTCATGCGTATCAAACGCCTAATCAGGCCATCTAGTTTCAATAAAAACGCTCTTAGGTTACACTACCTTCTTTTACTTTAGAATGCTTTTCGTGAATAATTCGATTTGTCAATGACAATCCCAGTGACAATTTGTCGGAATTCTAGAGAAAAATGACAAATTATTTAGACAGTTATAAAAGTATTTTTCTCGATATAACATTAAAAGATTTTTGGACTGTTTTCTCCATAATACATAATGAAAATAATCTTCAAGAACGTGATAAATGTATAAATGAATTAATTTATTTTTGGTCTCGCCACGCATCATGTCCGAGACATTCGCCAGTATCGTTCTATTTACCGGTGCTGTGTGTTCGAACCGGATTTGATCTATTTTTACGCCTAAATAATTTTCCATCGAATAGTCAAATAATAATGTCAGCTGTCAATATTCCATCAATGATTACTCTTGTGCAATATCATAAATTAACCGTTGTACCATGTGATATCGACCGGACTTCAACCGGTTCATCAGTAGAAAACGTTGAGAAATTAATAACACACAAAACAGTTGCAATTGTATTCGCTCATATTTATGGACGGTGTTACGACGTATCGAAGCTAATCGATTTAGCTGACAAATATAATCTTTATTTTATCGAAGATTGTGCAGAATGTTTTTCCGGTTTTTGTTCATGTAACGTACAAATGCAAAACCAATCGGATAATAAAATAACCAACAATAATCAAATACAACTATTGACTTCACATCGGTTAGTTTTTTCACATTTCGCTGTAAACTATTTCAACACTGTTAACAATTGTTCTTTTGTTAGAGATTTCAAAAATCTTTCTATATCAAGAACGCAATCGAAAATAATTCGATTCTTTCGTCGAACGATTCTTTTATTTCAGAAAAAAATGTTAATTAAGCAATTTCATCCAGTATTGTTTGTTTATTTAGTTATTATCCAACTAATTTGTATTGTCATACACGACTATCATCAGCAGACACAGAAATCAAAACAGATGATAATCAATTGGAGAATCAGAAATTATGTTATCTTGGTCATCCACGTTCACATTTAGTGATGTTTAGTTTTGGTGTATTGAAATTTTGTACTGCTCTTGGTGGTGGATTAGTAAAGATTTCTAATTATGATTTATATATGAGAATGAAAACATTGTATGAAAATGATCCGGTGCAAATCACTGAACAATATTATTTAAATGTTAAAAAATATTTTTATTTATATTGGTTATTAAATATTCCTCATATTATAAAACCATTGATGTACATTGTTCGATACTTTCAAATTAATCACATGGAATATGCTATTGAGCGTTTAAGAGCATTTTCTAAAACACAATCGACTGAACAGGTTTTCTCATATATTCGACGTCAACCATGCAAAGCATTGCTAGTATTTTTATTGAAACGTTTTCAATCGTATGATTATGAATTGATTGATATTCAACGGGAAAAAGCATTGTATGTTCTTAGACATTTAAATGAATCAAACTCACTAAAATTTGTTGGAATGAATGCGTCAGTTCGAAATTTTTGGTTATTTCCAATTATTGTTCAAAAACCAGATCTATTTGTTAGATTGTTATCAAAATCACATATTGATGCATATCGTGGTACCACTCAATTAAATGTTGCTACAAAACAACTAACAGGAACTTCTATTGTATTGCCAAGTAGTAATGATAGTGTGCCAACAAATATTAGTGAACAACAAATATATTCATGTCCAAAGGCTGAAAACTTAATTGATCATGTGATATATCTACCTGTCAATCGACTTGTTCCTTACAACGTTCTTGATCAATTAATTAACGTTGTTAATAACATCGCTAAACAAATTGATCAGTATGCAATAAAATCAAAATTATAATTCCAATGCAGATAATTAAATTTGATGTTAAAGATTCTTGACAGCTCACGCTACGTTATTGAATCATATTGTTCCCACGTCAGAGCAAATACTTTTCTTAAACAAAAGGTTTTCTACATTCCAATCAGCAAAAAACGAACCTATCCATTGCGATCATACCCTTTCAATTGCTGTATTCAGCCTACTGAACTGCAGTATATGGCAGCCAACGAGGTTGAGAAAAAATTCTAGTTCCTGAATCAAATCCTATTTCTACTATCATTTCAAAATATAAATACCACGAATGTTTTTTGAATCATTTTTGAAGAAGAAACACTAGAGATCTATGGTTTTCAGGTTATGAAAGAGGACACCTGGTGTCTAATATGAGTGCTTTGCGACAGCACTACCATTGTGTACCTTTCAAAACAAAACGTCCAAGCCTGCCATTCTAAAAATTCTTGTAGTGAAATAGTGCTCTAAAAGCACGAGGACATAGAACAGATGCCGCTCTACAACCTGGCGTAAATCCCACCTCTCCATCTACTGTGGTTTAGACGCTACAAGCAATATTTGAGGACCTATCTACCGGCTAAATCCGAACTTTGGAAACCTCAAAAGTACATGGAACATAGATTATCGACCACGCTGAACATCGGGACAATATTTTTTCTTCGAAAAAGCTTGAAAAACTACTGAACTACCTATACTAGACAATAAATTATTTTTCACTAGTTGCATCGAAAATTAAAATATTCATAACTCAGTCAAAGTTGTTCCAAACTGCTTCAAAATATCAACATATACTCGATTTTATTTGCGCTACACCATGAAGTTCAATAACAATTTCAAAAACCAACAGAAACTACTTCGGTTTTTGAAAGGTTTTCCATAAAACATTTGGAATAAGGGAATATTTCGTACTAATTTCTACGACAGAATACGGTTGAGGAGATAAAATCGAGTATATGTTGATATTGTGAAGCAGTTTGGAACAACTATGACTGAGTTATGAATATTTTAATTTTCGATGCAACTAGAGAAAAATAGTTTATTTTGTCTAGTATAGGTAGTTCAGTAGTTTTTCAAGCTTTTTCGAAAAACAANTTCCAAAGTTCGGGTTTAACCGGTAGATAGGTCCTCAAATATTGCCTGTAGCGTCTAAACCACAGTAGATGGAGAGGTGGGATTTACGCCAGGTTGTAGAGCGGCATCTGTTCTATGTCCTCATGCTTTCAGAGCAGTACTCCACTACAAGAATTTTTAGAATGGCAGGCTTGGACGTTTTGTTTTGAAAGGTACACAATGGTAGTGCTGTCGCAAAGCACTCATATTAGACACCAGGTGTCCTCGTTCATAACTTGAAAACCACAGATCTTGTCCCGATGTTCAGCGTGATCGATAATCTATGTTCCATGTACTTTTGAGGTTTCCAAAGTTCGGGTTTAGCCGGTAGATAGGCCCTCGGAGATTGCCTGTAGTGTCTGAACCACGGTAGATGGAGGTATGGGATTTTTACCAGGCTGTACAGCGAGGTCCGGTAGTTCGAACCACTCTCCTAAAAGTCAAAATCCATCTTGTTTTCAAAAATTCGATTTTTTCATAGAATCATGTCCCAAACTATCTTCTATCCAATACTGAAAACCGAAGCTCTCTAGCTTTTTTTGTTTAGAAGTTATTCAAAAAATATTCACGACCATTCTATTTTGAAATGGATAGTAATTACCTTTATTTTCTGCCACATTTTGTCGAAGCTGTTCGTGAATGGATTTGATTTGATTTGCTAATGCTAAGTGTTCCTCGGATGCCATCGAAGCTTATCGTATGGTTGTCTGAAGAATAAATGATAACATCAATAAATAAGATTCATTTAAATATCTTCTGCTAGCTGTGATAATATTGATCAAAAGTTTCAGTTGCCTAGACAAATTTTGAATCCTGAATTTTCTTGAATACAGCAATTAAATGCATTTTGTAATATATGACAGTATGAAAAAAATGCTGACGTTTAGGAGTACTGATGTATCACTTAGACCTCAATTACAGATAAACGAAATATTTAGAAATCAATACATTTTACATCACTAAGTACAAAACGCAAATGCAAGCAAGTGCCATACTTTATCATCAAAAAAAAGAACATATTTGAAAATTTGATTGCTTCGATCGGGAGATAGATGTGATTTTTGAACCTAATACAACTGTATCAACATGTCATATTTTTCCTTATGTGTTTATCCATCTCTTCATAAAATTAAAAATAGAGTCTATTTATTTTCTATTCAACACAATCAATAATTTCAAATAAAGCACAGTTTTCTTTTTCTATCACAACAATATCACTAAGGAAAAAAAAAGTTTATGTTTACATGGTCAAATCATACAATGTTGTAAATAAAAGTTTGTTCTTAATATCTTCAACTGTTGATGGCATCCATGTGTAATACGTGACAATTTTCTCATGTTCAAATAAGTGAAATCCATTATGATTAAATCTTCCTTTGACACCTACAATATCCAACCAAACAAATAGTGCTGGACGTTCAACTTGAATTTTTATATCGAATGACATCATATCCGCTGTACGAGTTGTCACTGATACGATACTGAGTTGAGGATCTTGTAATTTATAAGATTTTGGGTGAGTAAATAATAAATATTGCTCGTACGCATCATTTGTGTCGTTCATGTCAGATAAATACGAACATCTAAAACGAATGCAATTGGTAGAACTAAACTGTGTCATAGAGTCTCATATCGACAAAAAGTACGAAAATGTGACAAAAAAATTCTTCAAATTATATTTTACCTGAATAAACATTGTGTCTCATTTTGACACTTTGCTCTCTGGATTAATTTTTGATACGGTACTTGATAGATAACTTGTGTGTCCATCATCTGCTCTTTTATTGTCGCCATAAATATAAATTTGGTTCTTGGATTAAATTGTTCAAAATCATGAACAGCACATTGAATTGTAATTGATGTTTCATCTGTCTCATTCTTACCATTTCCATCATTAATTAAATAAACTACTATTTTAGATGTTTCATCATAGGTTAGATATGGTTCCAATACCGGTAAAACATAAGTTGGTTGATACATTTGTTTTGCATAGTAATGAGACATTTTCCATTTTCCACCATATTCAAGAGAAGACCATGTGGGTGCTTGCCATATATCATTCAATTGCCAATACATGATACCCATTGTATTTCCTTGACTTGTCACCTGATCCATTTGTGATATACTCGAATGACGACGACATTGATCACTAACTGTTTTAATCGTCATTGCTTGATTTATTTGAGTTAAATAGATTAGTTGTGTGAAATTACGTGTTGTATTAGTAGTAACCGGTAGAGGTAAATTATGCATAATTTCCACCCTTAATAAAAATAAAATATGTATCCATAATTAAATACATCATGAATATTCAGAAATACTGAACATTATTCTCATTTCTAATCAATACTTTTTAACATATTTTACAAAAGAATGTATAAATTGAGACATTTTTTATTATTATTCTAATTTAATTATTGTCAAATAAAATATAAATAAAAAATTGATTAATGAGTTTAACTTACATCATTTCTTCCAAGCCTCCTCCACGATGTTGTCTTTGTATCATCAATTCACTCCAATATCCATTATCTGTTGAATCATTTGTTATTTGAGACCAGGTTTCTAAACTGGGTAAGGATTGTACACCAACTTCAGATAAAAAACGTGTTATAGGATAATAGGTATAATTCCATGTGTCAATATTGTAGTTATAATAATGAACATCACCTAGAAAGAAAAATGTCTTTAACTTTACTGCTATTCGTAAATAAATGTGTCATCCATCTTTATCTAATCAAATATTCAAAATTTTTTTTTGTCGCAATTATAGTTCATAGAAGTGTCGATTGAACAATCAATCTATCTTGTACATTCTCTAGCTCTTTATAAAATTTGAGTAGATCGTTTACATACCATAAAGTGGATCATATGGGTTTTTCGCTACATAACCTTCTTGTTCTGATTCCAATCCATTTGATGGCGATGATACTAGAAATGGTCGACTCTTATCTAAATCTTGAACGACTGCTCGAATGTCATGTACGTATAAAAATACATAATCATTTTCATATAATGTACGATTTTTATTTGTTCCATACCAGTTTCCACTTAATGCTGCTTCGTTTTCATTATTCCCAGACCAAACAACGATGGATGGATGAGAATTTAATCGACCAACCTGATACACAACTTCATTATGAACATTTGTTAAAAATTCCAAATCTACTGGATACCTTGAAAGACAAAAAAAACGTTTTGACTGTTATGAGTACATCGTTTCAACAAAAACACAAAAAAAATTGTTCAATCAAAGAATGATGATTTTTTTTTCTTTTTAAATTTCTAATAAGTCCATTTTACTTACATACTACAAGCAAACATAAAATCTTGCCAGATCATAATTCCATATTCATCGGCTATATCATAAAAATAATCTTGTTCATAAACTCCTCCACCCCATACTCTTAACATGTTCATATTCGCTTCTTTTGTCGACATTAGTAGTTGACGAATGTAATCCTTTGTAATTCGTTCTTGAAATGCGTCAGCTGGAATCCAATTACTACCTTTTACAAATATTTTTGTTGTATTATTTATTTCAAAGTAAAATGATAAACCTAAAACAAAAAAGAAGAGTGAAAAAGGAAATGTATTTCAACTAATTATCTCATACTATTACAATAAAGTTGCTTACTACTTTGTTTACATTAGCAGTTAGAAATAGATAATCACTTTAGTAATGGATGTATTATTTACCTTTCACTGGTGCTGGATATGTATCTTGAACTAATCGAATTGTTCGAAATCCAATTCGTTTTACTTTCTTAATTGTTCCATATTTAATTTGAAAATTATACAAATTTTGTTCTCCATATCCATTTGGCCACCATAACTCAACATAATTTATCGGTACTTTAAGTTTAAATTGAGCATAAATATAATTATCCTCTGAATTGTTAACAACAATATTATCTTGAGTTAATTTCATTTTATATGACCAATCAGTATTTAATAGTTGAAATTGAAATATATCTTGTTGATATAGATCAAGTGGTGCAGATAATTTTAATTTTAAGTTAATTATCCAGTTAGAATCATCAAATTCCATTACATTTAAATTTGATATATCGAAATCAGATACATTTTTTCCATCAGTAGCCAATAAAAAAATATCTCCAGTGATGCCTATGGGAGCAAATGCTGGACCCCAATCCCATGAAAATGAACATGGCTCTTTGCGCATAAATTGTACATGACATTCTCCATTTTGAAGATCAACGGTACAGTTTGGTGGTACCTCATAATTATATTCATTAGCTTTTCCTCTCGCATATACAATCGGTGATTGAAAATGAATGTTGAGAGTATTATTTAATTTTAACTGACATGTAGTTGCTGTCAAATTCAATTCATATTTAACAAACATATTCTGAGTCGTACCAACTATACACTGATTTAATTCAATTGTTGTTATTGTATCGATTTGATCGATGCTTAAAAAAAATTGAGAATACTTTGTTAAATCATCTTGAGTCATTGAAAAATTTCTTGAAAATGTCCAATTTTGTAGAACGAGAGAACGTAAATTAACATCGTTATAAGCAAAATAGGGTTCCGATATTAGGTTTTGAGCTAATAAAATTGTATGTACAGTGCCAGGAATTTGTGCTTTAATAGGCATAGAGCTACTACCATTTGATATTTCCCATTGATCGCCAGTTAACGGAATTTTGATTTGTGTTGAATAGGCATGATTAAATAAGAATAACAATACAAATGTACAATAATAGAGAAAAGAATACATTATAACAAATTTTTATTCTTTCTTTCGTTTATGTTTAGACTTTTTATGATGTTTTTTTTGCTTGGATTTTTTACGTTTTGGATGTTGTTCACTAGATGAAGATGTGGATAATGATGATCGAGAACGATGTTTTTGTTTCGAACGATATTTTTTATCCAATTCAGATTCAGATGAACTACTTGGACTGGGAGATCGTCTAAAAATAAATAAAAAGAATTGAACAATGTGTTGATGACCAAAAAAATAATTTAACTATGATCTGTCATGTATGCACTTGTGCAAGTTCTGTCAAACATCAAGAACCACAAAATTTTCGGGATTTTTTCCCATACTTTAATAACGTTTTTCACTAGGAAAAACTCGGGATCAAATAAAAACAAGATCAATGAGATAAACATGTATTTAATTAAATAATACATTGGAACACATAGCAAACAATAGTTCTACATTATTATTATATACAAGACAATAATACTAATTATACTCAAGCAATTGACAGATAAATTATAAAGCAACACGTACAAGATGTTATTTTGTTGATATGTTTTTGTATTGAAATATCTTATCTAACTAAGTCTCTAGTTTGGTTTTGAAAAATCTTACCGTCTCTTTCGATCCTTCTTTTTCTTTATAATTTTATGTTTTTCTCTTTTATCTGTGTCTTTTTTCTTTCGTTGTTTGTCTTCTTCTTTAACTTCTTGTGTTTTGAGTTCTTCTATACAAAGAAGAAAAAAAGTGATAAAATATGTAAATTTAGATAATAATTGTGTATACCTCTATTTAGTGCTTGTAATGGTGTTATATATTCGTCTTCACTTGATGGTGAGCTTGTACTACTTATATCAAGTACAACTTCTTTACTCGGATTTGATTGTAGAAAATTTCGACATTGATAAGTTAAATGACCAACTAGCAAAAATAAAGGAACAAAATCACTATTTACACAAGGTAGAGGCTCATGTTAAAGAGAAACGAAAGAATAAAAGAATATTTAACGTAAGAATAAACAAAATGTTTTATTTACATACCGTAACCACACTTTCCGCAGCCAACTTTGTGATCAGGATTTTGTGGACGAACATAAATACCTTAAAAATTATGAACAAAATACAGTCAATCAATAAAACACAATTAAATACATTTTATAGCGTATAATATTATGAGATATGCTTCTTTTTTAATCTTGTTATCTCAAAGTTATTTAATAGTATTCGGATGCTCACAATATTAGAAAAATATTCTATTTTTATAATTTATCTATTTATGAGAGCAAAAATGATATT